ACAAAAAAAAAAAAAAAAAAACACATCTTAGTAAAACCAATACCTTCTTAGCTTCGCATCTAAGCTAAAACTTACTTCTAATTACACTAAATTCGCATAGTACGTGTTCGATCCAATTTTTCTTTTGTATTATTGTTGTATGAGAAAAGCGCGTTTACCCGGTGCGTACTGGTTTCTTTTATTGTATTTATAATAGTCGAACGATGAATGCGTCATTGCAAAGGACGGCACGACGCGCACGCCAACATGTGTTTACAAAATGAAGTATTATAAATAAGTTAAAAGTTTTAAGTTTTAACTCGTTCTTATTAAGTAAATAGTTAAAAGTATTATACAGTCCACAACGAAGACCGAAACAGTACGTAAAAAATTAAATATTAAACGAACTGAATTGCAAAGATTTATTGACTCATTTTCGAAAACTAAATATCGACATAATTCAATTTTATAATTACTAAATATATATTATGTATTACATATGTGTTATTCTACCATTTATGTTATTTTTGTTCTCAACCATGTAATACTTATGTTAGTAAAATAATACATTAAAATTAATGCTTATTTTATAATTTATTAATAAACAAAATTTGCAAGAAAAATATTTTTTAAATACTTTTTTTTTTTGAGAAGAATTAGTTGTGTTATGGCGCAAATAAAGAAAATTGAAGCCTCCCCATGACGCTACGAAGGGCGGCAAAATTTGAAATGCCTATAGACAAAAAATATGTAAATTTACATCTGTATACACGTCGTCAACAAACTTACATACAAGTATCTTAAAAAATTATATTACAAAATTAATTGTGAGTACATGTTTTATTACACATGATGTTAAATAACATACATGTATCAAAAGAGTGCATCCATATATAAATAACAATTTCATAAGTATTTTAATGTTTTTTAAAGAATCATTAAAACATAAATTGAGAATTCTGAATTTAAATCGTACAAATAATAATAATGATACGGACAATTTTTTCACAAATATTAATTTAGTTATAATTAAACATTAATTTTAACAGAATAATCATCAAAAACCAAGTAATAATCTATTGAACGTTTAGTTTTCTTTTTTTTCAAGGCTGATATTTCTTTTAGAAGAAGATCCCATAAGTTTTTTGGCATATGACTGGAGTTCGTATTTAACTATATTTTTGTCACGTTTTTTTGCTTCCTGAAGAAATTCGAAGTAACCATCATGTTTCATGATATCAAGATTTCTAGGTGTTATATTTTCTTTATATTTTCCCAACACGTGTGGTTTCGGATGTATTATTCCTATAAGAACATAAAATGATCCATATACTTTTTCACCATTAATTACAATTTCATTTGTTTTTGCAACACCAATTCCTATGTTAATGGAACTTTTCCAAATTATAGTAGATGATAGTCGACACTTCCAAGAATATTTCTCAACTACATAAAATCATACAGCTTAGTAAATAAATAATAATGAATTTATTAATATACAATTATTTAGCCACAATTCGATACTAATAAACGAGGGTTTGTCATAAAAATATGACGTTAGGTAAACTATAATAAACCGAACTTACACTTTTGACCCCCTTGTGGGCAGATAAAGTGTCAGATTTACAAAACAAATATACCAAATGAAAGGTAAAGACAACATACATATATAAAAAAAAATTATATTGATTTGATTATTTTTAAAAAATATCGAAAATTAGTGATTTTTAAATTTGTAATTTTTTGGAGATTTCCTTATTTCCTTTTAAATAATTTTTCTTTTCCTACGTAGAATTATTTTGCCAAAGTTCTTTTGTTTTGTATTAAGGTCTAGGGTCAGACCTTAAGTGTAGGGGGAGCAGCTGATACGATCACATTTGCATGTGCCCATATCTCTGTCTCCCATAACATCGTTGTACCGTTTAATAGACATAATATATAATATATATATATATATAATTAACACAGTGACATACAACAATACTAACAGGAGGGCGGACTGCACACATAAACACTTTTTGCAATTCACGGCCAATGTGCCATAATAAGATATCCCTATCGACAGTTGACATTTCACCATCTTCGCGATCACTACTTTTGCCTGATAATTAACTTAACTTCGCTACTCCGTATATTATAGTGTGTGTGTGTGTCGCCGTCNATTTTTTCTTCATATAAAAATGTAACAAGAAAAGAAAACAGTAGCTTTCTTGAGTATCACAAATTGAAAAATAAATTAACAAACCTAATAATAATTTAAAAAAAAATCTAGATTAAACATAATTAGAACATAGCAACATCATAATAAATAGCAAAAAAAATTAATTCATGACGTTATATTTTTATAGAAGTTTCTGTGCTTATCAGGTAAAAAAGGAATCATGGCCAACAAATCTTTTTTCTTCTCTGACGACAATGTGGGTTTCGGTATAGGTATAAATGTCTGATTTTTAAGTTGGTCTATAGTAGCATTTCTTTTAAAAACGTTAAAATCTTTTCAAAGTTCTTCATCTGAAAATGTTTTTTTATAATAGATTTTTTTGGGAGTTAAAAATGAAACTTTAATCATAAAAAAATTGTTAGCAATGTCTTTAAATGAAAAAAAGTTGTTTTCGTCCATCGGAATAACTCGAAATGGATTTATCAACTTCGCTGCTCTAACCATTTCTTGTAAATCAGAAGGAGTGAAATTTTGAAAAACTCTACGTCTCTTTTCGATAATAGCGAAATCACGAGCACAAGCCAAGAGAGAGTGGCCACTTATCAAAAATTTTTGTATAATCTCATCAAATATCCCCATATTTATTAAATATAACATCAAAACTACTAACGTTTTATTTTTATTTTGGCCAGCACAGTTGTCTTACCATATAATTAGTTTTTTGCGATTTATCGTATTTTCGTTTTTGTTAATAACTTGAAAAAGAAAAGAAGCGATTTCTGAGCTTCCACGAGAAGCAATACTTTCATCCCACATATACATAAAGGCTGTATTNTCCACGAGAAGCAATACTTTTATCCCACATATACATAAAGGCTGTATTGCTGTCACCGAGATGTATTCCAAAGTTATAACAACTAAGTTGACGCTTTCCTGAATTGTATTATTGCTTTTCCTGGTCGCATACGATTTTCCACTAATTCTTTTTTTAGTCTGATCATTTCTTCTTTTTTTACCACTTCGTAAAATATGTATACTTTCAGTATCCATAATAACACAATTAAACAAATGAAAAAGAAAACTTAACGAATACAACAACACCAGTATTAGTTATTTTGAAATATAACGGACTATATTATAATATTGTAATCGTCAAACTATTATATTCGCCCAAGGCACTTAGAACGTACAGGTAACAAAGGGCATGTCTCACAGAACAAATACAATCTATGAACGCAATTTTGTACAAGTAAAAAATTTAATTGACACTTGAAACACATACAAGATTGTGACCTTTGGCTCATAGAACATAAATCAGAAATAAAACAATTTTTCAATTTTTTGGCACATAGAACGTTTGACACATTCACTCTTCATATATTGTAGTGCGACCCTTGGTAGTTCCTCTAAGGGAATATAAATTAAATAGGAAACTTCAGTACCTAAGGTAGATATAGCCTAGCCAGCTATCCCCCGTTGGTCCCTTAGAATACTGTCGATGGGCATTTAGGCTAAACCCCTAAATAGCGACGTAACAGGCTAGATTCAATTTGTGATTTTTTCAGGTTTCGTTGAAAGAAATCGGTTCGGTGAGAGCTAAGAAAGTTATAACAGACAAAAAAAAATGGTAGGGGAATGGTGGGCAAAAAGTTATGATGCGCACTTTAATATATCGTAAACTAGGGATTATTAAACATTGTTGTAAATAAATATACTTTTAAAAAATCTAAAAATACACGCTTTTAAAGCACAATGAAATAAAAAGTTAAAAATTATTTTTAATTTTTTATTTCGATATACTTTACAAGGGTATTTTTTAGTTTTTATAAACTTTATTTTTTACTTTTTAGTTTTTTATGACATCGCTGTCACATTCACGGAGTGTTTATTGTCAATTATTACTAGCAATGGATATAATTTCTGTATTGCCAGTTAGTGTGTTTATAAAATTACTACAATGTGTATTATTATCATTGATATAAAGGCTATATGTGTGCTAATATCGTCATAAAAAATCATTTAGCTACCTGTATTTGTAATCCCTTATGTATTATATATATATTAACTCAAAAAAAATTGAATCTTTAAATGTTTATGTCTAATAATAAACAATAAAAAATTATTTATATATATACAGAGTGGCCCACCACTCACTGACAACTTAAATAACTTTTGATCCAGTTAATATTTTTAGTTGATTTTTTTTTTAAATATTAGTTAGACGTTAGGTCTATAGTTATATCTCAATAATTAATTTTTGTACATTTTATTAAAAATATTAATTATTTTTAAATTTTAAATAAAATGTAAAAAAAAAATCTAAGATAGCTATTTTGTAGAGTAGAATTTAAGAAAAATTTTAGTAAAAAAATATCTTATTAATATTCAGTAGTAAATATTCTGTAGCGTTTTGAAGTTTGT